TGGTGTTTTACAAAAGGGGAGAACAGACACAGTTACACCCGGGGGAAGATGCCATGTGAAGACACAGCTTTAAGCCAAGGAACGCCAAGAGATGCCCAGGGCTACAGAAGCTGGAAGAGACAAAGGAGGAGCTTCTCCTCGAACAGACAGAGAGGGAGGGCAGGGCCCAGCTGACACCCTGAGTTTGGACTCCCAGCCTCCAGAACTATGAGACAATAAATATCTGTTCTTTACAGCCCCCATGGCGTGGTATTTTGTTACGCAGCCCTCGGAGGCTAAGAAAGAACGCGTCCCAGACTGTGACTATCTTGCTCATGGTGTCCACGCCACCTTCCATTATGATCCCTGTCCGGCGTCTTGTGGCCTCTCTTATGTGTGGGGCAGGGATGGGGTCTCATTCATCCGTGCCCCCACACATAGCCCAGTCCTGGTCTAGACGGGTGCTCAACAGTGTTCACTGAATGAATGAATGAGTTTCTGAGCGCCCAGCTTAACAAATGGAGATGCAACTAGCTGAATCATTCATTGATCATGAACGCCTCCCCCAGGAAGCAAAGTCAGCAGAGGCTGAGAGGCAGGGGAATGATAAGGATGGTCACAGTGAATCAGAGCTCAGGGCTCTTGAGCTGTGACATACCAGGCACTATTCTTGGAGCTATGACATACAGTATGCATCTTATGTAAACCTCACAGTACTCCTACGAGGTTGGCACTAGGCTTCTCCCCATTTTACAGAGGAGGAAACTGAGGCTCGGAGGGATTAAATGATTTATCCCGGAAATGGTGGGGCCAAGATATACATACAATGAGGCGTGCAACTGAATCTTCAGGGCAAATACACCAAATTAAGGGAAGGCAGATTCTGGAATCTTCGAGAACTGGGTCTGAATCAGACTCATCTCCTGGTTCAGAGAGGCTTAGCCTACACAGAACGTGGCCCCTCTCCATTAAAGGAGGTGGGAATACGTGCCCAGCCAGGAAACCAGAACCTCTCTAGTTCTTTCAAATGGGTGTAATTTAATACGGGGAGTTGGCCACTGTCATGGATTGAACTGTGTCCCCCCAAAATATGTGTCAACTTGGCTTGGCCATGATTCTCAGTATTGTGTAGCTGTCCCCCATTTTGTCATCTGATGTAATTGTCTTATGTGTTGTAAATCCTAATCTCTGCCTGTGGTTAATGAGGCAAGATTAGGTCATGTTAAAGAGGATTAGGGTGGGATGTGAAACTCTTAGGTCACAGCCCTGATCCGATGTAAGGGGAGTTTCCCAGGTGTCGCCTGCATCATCTTTCTTACAAGAGATAAAAGGAGAAAGAAGTGAGCAGTGAGTGGGGGACCTATTACCACCAAAGAAAGAAGAGCCAGGAGCAGAGCGCATCCTTTGGATCCCGGGTCCCTGGGCTTAGAAACTTCTAGGCCCAGGGAAAGATTGACGACGTGGACCTTACCCCAGAGCCGACAGAGACAGAAAAGCTTCCCCTGGAGCTGGTGCCCTGAATTCGGACTTCTGGCCTCCTAGACTGTGAAAGAATAAACTTCTATTTGCCAAAGCCGTCTACCTGTGGTATTTCTGTTGTAGCAGCCCTAGATGACCAAGACAGCCACACAGGCAGTGGACGAGCTGGGGGGCCAAACAGGGATGGTGAGGCTGCCAGAGATTATCAACAGCAGGACGCCGGGATGGGTTCAGGGTGGTGGGACAATGGGAGGTGCTGTTACCAGAGCCAGAAACTACGGCTGCCCAGAAGGTGGGCTCATG